GTCCAGAGATTGTTTGATGTTGAATTGTCAGCGGGTGAAGACAAAAATGTCAAAGGAAAATCCTGATGGGATTTGGATTTTATAAAGAAAGTGTTTTGTAGGCATTAGCCTTGATCACATGAGTACTCTTCTCATTCTAGTAGGTGATAATAAAATCATTTCTTGCTGGTGAGAAAACAGCTTCTTAATGCTTAACGAAAGCATTCCCTGGAAGGAGATGGCTCCTGATGATGACAGCACTGCCACTGATGGGCTGGGTAACATCAGAACCTCCTTCGTGAGTTCTAGATTGTTGTTGTTAGGTGTCCTCTGTTGGATCCATGGACTGTAGCTAAATAAAATTCTGATTTTTCAATTATTAAAAGTTAGTTGCCAACCTGGGATGTTTGTGTTAAAATGCACTTTTTAAAATAGGAAATATTTATGTTAAAACAAATAAAAACTTACTTAGAACAAAAGCTAACACTGTGTCATCCACTGTGCTAAGAACTTTACATCCATTCTTTCATTTTTTTTTTCTTCCAGTTTTTGGCCAGGGCTGGATTTGAACCTGCCACCTCGGGTATAAGGGGCCAGCACCCTACTCCTTTGGGCCACAGACGCCGCCCCATTCTTCCATTTTTTTTGAGTCATAGTCTCACTCTGTCACCCTATGTAGGTGCTGTGGTTGTCACAGCTCACAGCAACCTCAAACTCCTGGATTCAGGCAATTCTCCTGCCTCGGCCTTCCAGGTAGCTAGGAATATAGACACCCACCACAACGTTGACATGGCTAGTTTTTTTCTATTTTTAGTAGAGATGTGGTCTCACTCTTGCTTAGGCTGGTCTAGAACTCCTGAGCTCAAGCAATCCCCCCACCTTGGCCTCCCCCAGAGTGTTGGGATTACAGGCATGAGCCACCGTGCCTGGCCCATTCTTCCATTTACCCCTCATCATGACTCTGTGAAATAGGTATTGTTAGGAAACCAAGACTTAGATTAAGTAACTTGCGTAAGGTCTCCCAATTAGTGTTAGAGCTAAGTCTCTAATCCAAGTCTTATCGAGTCAGCTCCTATACTTCTGAATATTATAGAATGTAGCCTCATAAAAATACATATATGTGTGTGTATATATATATATATGTATATTTGCATGAGAAGATGAAGAGCTCATATTAGTCATGTCCTGATTTTTTTTTTTGTGTGTGTGTGTAGATGATCCTACTATAAGAAACACTTAAAAATTGTTTTGCATTTAACGTAATTGATGTCATCTTTTTTGTCTGGAGAATGATGGCCTGGATCTTTTCTTTTTAGGATGTTGGCTCTTTGCTTTTTAGCATAATCTCTTACCAGGTTGTTGTTGATTTTTTTTTTTTTT